TCTTTCTCTCTTTTCTTTTTCATTTCCCCTCTTCACCTTCTGTTGTGGTTTTCTTTCTTATTTTTTACTGAATACATCTGAGCCATGTTAAATCAGAAATTGAAAAAGAAACTTTAAATTTATGTATATACAGAATATATATATTTTTTCTCTCTCTGCCTCTTTGCAGATACAGGATACATATAAATATAACATTTTATATTTCCTCTACTTAGCTTTAATACTACTGAAATGTATTCTCTCCTATTCTTGTGTGAATATTTGGTAATATGAACAAAAGAAAAAAATAATAATAATAATAATAAATAAAAATAATAATAAATATATATATATATATATGTGCACTCGTCACTCCAACTCTGCACTGGGAGCTCACCGCGCTTGTGTTAAACGTCACCTCTTTTCCTTTTCCTACGCGCTCTCTCTCTCTCTCGCCTTTCCGGAATGGACTCGCCCCACAAGACCGCAGCAGAATTGTAACTTCTCTAAGTAAACGTTAGAAAAATATAAACATGTGAAAAGTTAAAAAAAAAAAAAAAATGAAGTAATGGGAAAGAAGTGGGGGGGGGGGGGGGTGCTCGACCGTAAATCAACATTATTCACTTGAAACAAAAGAGAATAACAGACTGAAGAAATAGTAGAGTGGTTGTGGTAGTAGTAATAGTAGAGTGGTGGTATAGTAGTAGTATTAGTAGTAGTAGTATTTGTAGTTGTAGTAGTAGTAGTTGTTGTAAAGTAGGAGTAGTAGTTGTATAGTAGTAGTAGTAGTAGTAGTAGTAGTAGTAGTAGTAGTAGTAGTAGTAGTAGTAGTAGTAGTAGTAGTAATAGTAGTAGTAGTAGTTATTGTATAGTGGTAGTAGTTCTGTTGGAGTAGTAGTAGTAGTAGAGGTGGTATAGTAACAGCAGTAGTATAGTAGTCTAAAAGCAGTAGTATAGTAGTAGTAATAGCAGCAGCAGCAGTAGTAGAATTAGAATTAGCATCAGAATTAGAAGTAATAGCAGTAATAGAAGAGAAAATAAAGAAGAAATTTAAAGAAAAGAAAGAAAGAAAAAAAAAATAAAACAGAGAGAAAGGGTCCAAATTCATGTTTATTTTTCTTTGTATTTCCGCTTCTCTTGAGACCTCAATCATCTATGTCAACAAGCGCTTGAGTAAATAAGTAATTGCTTAAAAAGTAAAAAATAATAAAAATACACAGGTAAGCACTGTGTGTATGTGTGTTTGTGAAGCAGCAAATGTATACAAATGTATGTACATAAAAAAACGTAAAAACAGACAAGGAAAACGAACACACTCACTCTATATCTCACCTTAAAAAAATTAATATTTCCTTTTTTTTTCCCCCATTTTTATGCCCAGTTTTTCACAGTAACAATTAAACATATTGTCTCAAAATATACTATTTTGCCCTAAGTTTCCTCTTAAAGTCACTTTCCTTCCCTGCATACACTTTCACAATCTGAATAACAATTCCTTAATCTTTCACTTTTCTTTTCTCTCTCTCTTTCCTCTTCGGCTCTAATTTCTCGGTTCACTGGGATCTTTCTTCCATCTCCAAACTTCCAAAGAATCCTCCTCTTTTTCCATTTCATGATCACCATCTCTCTTCCTCCGAATCAATTTCCTCTCTTCTCTTCCGAAATTCACTTCCTTTTTCCTTCCTTACAAATTTCCATTCCATTCATCCTCTTCACCCTTTCTTCATCCACCTTTCCTTACTTCCTTCCTCCTTTGTCTGCAGGATGCCGTTCTCTCCCTCTCCTCTCTTTCTCTCTCTACTACGCGTGGTCCGAGGGCTCAGGCTGCAGCGGTGGCACTTGCAGCGACAGACGCTTGTTGTTGGACGGTCTCAGCCGGCAGGAGGCGTGGCGTGCGTTTGGGAACCGCTGGTGGTAGCGCTCGTCTCGAAGGAACTTTACGGTGACCAAGTTGCCTGTCAAAAACAAGGAGAGCTCAGAGGGGGGTTTGACCTTGAGAAGAAGAGGAGGAAGGAGGGATGGGGAAAGGAGAGGAAGGGAGAACAGGAAGAATGGATAGGGAGGAGGGGAAGAAAGGAAGAGGGGGGCGGGGGAAATAAAAGAAGAAGGAGGAGGAGGAGGAGGAGGAGGAGGAGGAGGAGGAAGAAGAAGAAGAGGGCGACAAAGAAGAGGAGGAGGACAAAGAAGAAGAAGAAGAAGAAGAAGAAGAAGAAGAAGAAGAGGAGGGCGTAGGAGGAAGAAGAGGAGGGAGACAACAAAGTGAAGAGAAAAGTGAGTGGAGGTAAAGGGAGGAGTGAATGGAGAAGAAAGAAGAGGAACATGTCAATAATGTTGAATAAATTAAATGGAAATCACACAGCAACTAAAATGTTAATGGCTTCTCCTTCCTTAGCTTTATTTTTAATTAAGGAAGCAAGAATACATTTTTTCCTTTTTTCTAAGAGTATCAATGAAAAATAGAACTTTTCTCTAAAGAATCAACAACCATTATTGCTGGAGAATAATTTAACTTGACCCAAGC